GAGCTAATACAAATAAGGCAATATAGCATCGGCGCTAGCATGAAGGCTAACAAGCTAAACTGAGGTCCTCCATCCACAAGACAGAGGGGAACACAAAAATGACTCAGCTGTAACTGAATTATGTATGGAGGGCCTCAATTTAGCTTGTTTGTTGCGCTAGCATCGAGCTAACAGGCTAAGCTGGGGTTCTTCTTCCATGAAGCAGCTCTGTTGTCTGAGTCATTTCTACCTTCTCCTCTCTGTCAACGCTCTCTGGTTTCATTTAAAAGAGTCGATCATCAGATATTGTCCAAGATTAACCTTCAGGGTGGATATAGCTCCCTAGCAGCCTCACACTGAGGACCTATCCATGTCATCATTTACCCAGAATGCTTTGCGTGTAAATAAAATGGCTCCGTCTGTGTTAAAATATATTTTAAAAAATTTACAAAACTAAACATCCTACAGTATTTTTACAGTCATTCATTTACTGTTAAAATATATGTTTATCAAATAAAGTCTAACGTTAGAACTAATCAGGGATCCCTTTAAGTTACACTAAAGCTTGTCATTTAATAAAAAACCCAAACAGATTTAAAAAGCAAAAATGTCCCAACATCAAACTCTTCCATATTTATTAGTGTATTTCTTTTCCAACTTCTCTAAAGTTTAGGAAATGTGCCTTTTGCTGACAAACAGAAAAATCACACCTTGATCTTTTATTCCCTCCTCGTCAGGTGGGAATAAGAGCCACATTAAGACCATGACCTCATCATGCTCATGAGCCACAATAAGCTATCAAGTACTGGAAAATGTGCTTCAAATGGTGTCGCTACTATTTTGTCACCTGACTACATTTAGAGAAATGAGCATGATCTCCTACAGGAGGAAGATAAGGAGGAAATATTGATGAAATGGTTCATCACTGAGTTATTTCTGCTCCTCCTCTCAGCTCCCATCACACAATAAGTCCATCTGTCCTCCCGTCTCTAACTCACTTCCTGTCTTCCAGCTTCCAAGAGCTGCAGCAGAGCTTAGCAGCTGCAAAGCAGGGGAATGTAGTGACACACGCAGACACACACAAACTTGTTTTATATATTCCCATGGGGACCGTGCATTGACTTCCATTCATTTTTTGGAAATTTTACTGCCTAATCTTGACCATTTACCCTAAAATTAACCTCACAGGTACCTACCTACCTGACCCTAAAACTAACCTAAACTCAATTCACACACTGGTCCTAAACCTAATCCCCCCCATGTAATTTGTATTTAAGGCTGATTTTTCAGGACAATTGTCCCCACAATGTCCTGATGCATCTCAGTAATCCAGGTAAAAAATCAAAAGGAAAAAAAATTGTATAGGTCCTCTGGACGGGTTCTTCTCTAATGAAACGTTTCGTCTCTCTTCCAAGAGACTTCTTCAGTCTGAGAGTTTCTGGCAAAATTCAGGCTTTTGAGTCCTGCCTCCAGGTGACTGATACTCACTGAAGAAGTCTCTTGGAAGAGAGACGAAACGTTTCATTAGAGAAGAACCCGTCCAGAGGACCTATACAATTTTTTTTCCTTTTGTCCCCACAATGTTTTAAAAACAAAGCCCCACAGACACACACAGTTCTGTGTGTTATCTCTTCACTTAGTTAATGTGATACAGAACCTTTAGAG